TTGAGTTTCTATTGTGGTATTTTTAAAAAGTTTGCAGGCATTTCATTCTTGTGACTGTTCCTTTTAATTTCCATTTCACTGGTTTCCTCATTTTTGTGTAGTTCCCCTTTCTGAAGTTAAATGCTACTGTGGTGGGCTTCTTTGGTATTTGCCCTCCACCCCAGAGATGTTAAATTTAATTGTATAATGGTCGCTATTACCTAGCTAGCAGTTCAACTATAATTATCTCTTTGACCAGATCCCATGCTCCATTTTGGATTAAATTAAGAGTTGCCTCTTCCCTTGTGATTGCATGACTAGCTGCTCCAAGAAGCAGTCATTTATGGTGTCTGGAAACTTTATCTCTGCATCCCGTCCTGAGGTGACGTACCCAGTCAATATGGGGATAGTTGAAATCCCCCATTATTATTAAGTTTCCTAGTTTTATAACCTCTCTAATCACCCTGAGCATTTCACAGTCACCATCACCATCCTAGTCAGGTGGTCGGTAATATATTCCTGATGTTATACTTTTATTATTCAAGCATGGAATTTCTATCCATAGAGATTCTATGGGACAGTTTGAGTCATTTCAGATTTTTACTGTATTTGATGCTATGTTTTTTTTCACACATAGTGCCACTCCCCATCACCACTACCTACTCTGTCATTCCTATATATTTTGTGCCCTGGTATTACCATGTCATTATTCCGCCAAGTTTGTGTGATCCCTATTATATCAATATCATAATTTAATATCAGGCGGGGCTAGGGCGGGGGTTGAGCACCCACTGGCACAGGGAAAAGTTGGCACCGATGGAGACACCTCCGTTAATATATCCTCCCCTATAGGGTACTTCTGTCTGAACTGTGTGCTCCACTGTACCTGTCGGCTTTCCCCAAGTCCTTAGTTCAGTGTTTCCCAAACTTGGAACGCCGTTTGTCTAGGGAAAGCCCCTGGCGGGCCAGGCTGGTTTGTTTACCTGCTGCGTCTGCAGGTCTGACCAATCGTGGCTCCCACTGGCCGCGGTTTGCTGCTCCAGGCCAATGGGAGCTGCTGGAAGTGGCGCGGGTCGAGGGACGTACTGGCTGCCGGGGACGTTAATCATTGTGGGATATTTATGGAATGTGCTCTGTGGATTCAGGTTTGCAGCCATGACTACCAGAGTAGGGAGCCTGGATCACTCGCTCAACCTTAGATGTGGAGTTGCAGGATTCTTTGTTCTGCTTAAGGGTCCTTTGGCTCTGTCGTCTATGGGAAGCAGAGTGTATCTTAGAGCAGTAATGAAGCTGCTCTAACTGATCCCGGGTCTGTGCCAGTGAACAGCAACTGAACAGCCTCAGAATATGGGGAGCACAAACGTGGCTTATAATTGCCTTCCCCCAAAACCTCAAAGTAACTGAGAAACAGAGCTTCTGGAGGAGTACCTTTCACTGCTGCATCAACAGACTTCAAAGGATCCTGCTACATCAGAAGATTGAAACACTGAAACAAACATTTCTGTAATTAACAACTTCCCATCTTGTCATCTATCACTTTTATATTTAGCAGAAAATACGTCTTTGGTGCAGCTGCCAATATCCTACACACTAAAAGCAGGATATGTCTTGATGGGAGTCAACAGACATTCATTTTCTTCTTCCTCACCCCCAAATGGACAAATGATCATCAGAAACAAGATTCAAAGGTGGCTACATGACCTCTGTCCCCGATGCCAGGTTCCAGACATGTTTACTCTGGAGTTGGAACTTTGTAATTCCACAGCATAATATTCCATTCCTTGGGTCAAATTCCTTGGAATAGCTAAAGCTCATTAGAACTGGACTTCTTTTGGGCTGCCATGCAATCTGTACATCAGCTCAGGAAAAAAGAGGTTACTCATGCTAAATGAGTACAGAGGAAATTTGCCCGAACTGGTATTTTTTTTTACATTCATAGCAAACACGAAGAACCTATATTAAGGAAGTGCAACTAAAAATAATTAAATTAATTAATACTTGACAGTGACCCTAAATTTAAAAAAAAATGACTGGAGAAAATCATTTGTCTTGTCCCTACCAGAATAAGAGTTGACCAAACCATTAAAACTGTACTGACTTTGTCCCTGTTGTGAGACCAGGTGTTTATATGAGTTGATATCAAAAGTATTCTTGGTAGAACTGTGCATGAATCCAGGACAGAAAGTAAAACTGTCCTGAGCCTTAATGTCTCAGATTTCTTATGAGCCAAATTCAACCTCACTGGCTAGCCTCCTCTTTTGATTTGTTACCTGGGTTTCATATGTGAAATACAGCTAGGGATGTCCATAATCGTGGCATTTCCATTCACCCTGGCATGTTCTGGAGTTAATGGAAGTACTTCAATAATCCCATTTTAATGATCTACCAAGAGATATTAATAGCAATTTAGAGATGACTCTCACTCATAAATCAGAGTGTCACACAGACAACCCTGGTCAGATGAGAGAGATAGAGAGCTTTTTGAAAGAAGAGATCAAATTAAAAAATAGAAAAGATAATTTATAGGATAAAAAAAATTAAACCATCCACTTGAAAAGCTTATATTATAAATTTATTTTGTACATGAAAAGTAAATCCTGATTTGAACAATTTCATTTACATTTTAACAGCATCCTGGTCTTGGATTTTTAACCCTAATCTTTTGTCAAGCAACAATCCTAAACTAAATCCAGATCCTTTGGCAACGTTGATAACTTCTTAGAGGACAGATTTTACGATCTGTTGGGCTCCAAGCAGGTCTCAAGAAGTCAGAATGAGGGGGAATCAAGCAGTTTCTGCCTTTGGTCTTGGATTCTGGAGGGGAAGAGTGCGCTGGGCAGTGACCCCCTTTCAAAATCCAAGTGCCATGTTGTTCCTTGCTTTGGGTTTAGGTGTTTCCCTCCTCCCTACATTTCCACCTATCTTTTGGCCAATGCATAATATTGTTCACACTCCACTGCAAGCAGGAGTGGGGAAACCTTCACCCTTTTCTCAGTCTGTGCAGCAGGGGGTGGGAAAGGTGGCTCCTGGTGCATATTTGTTGCCTTAGATCAGCAGGCCCTGACCCCGTTTCGAGCCTAAGTGCACCCTATACACAGGGTGGGCTCCTCCGCTCTAGTCGGCAGCCCGGCTCTGGTGTGTCTGTCAGGAGCTCGGCTAGAGCCGGGATTGGCTGCCGCTGGTGGGTGTGCCCCAGAGGAAGGCGTGGCGCTCCGGGCCTGCGTGGGCAGCGCGCGGTGGCGTGGAGCCGGAAGCAGCACTGATGAGTTGTGTCAGGCGCTTGCCTATGTGTTTGGCAGGAGGTGGTGTGAGCCCCGCTTGGTGGCTAGGTAAGAGGAGAGTGCAGAGCGGTGCGTGCGGGGCCCGTGCTGGGGCCGTTCCCAGGCCCCCGTCCGAGATGATTTGGGGAAGGGGCACTGTCACCACTTGTGTGCTCGCAGCACTGGCCTCGGCTGTAGTTACGATCTTCTGGCTGCAGTATGATAAAGGTATAAGCCCTCTCCACCGGGTCTCTCGCCAGTAGGGAATGGGGGACCCGCAGCTCTGTGTGGGCGGCAGCTGCCGCCAGCCTAAGCGAATGGCGGAAGCTTTCTCAGCTCGCCACAGGCCAGACAGGTGTGTTGCTGGGCGTGTGTCGCTGGCTTTCTGAAAACGGCTGGATAAAGCAAACTGTCCTGTACCCAAGCAGGGTCTCTACTCATCAAACAAACTGCCTGTTGGTTTGGGTTGCCTGGAGTTGATGCTCTTTAGGGCACCCCACCCTTCGGACTCCCCTGCTGGGTTTTACAGGCGCGGCGCGGAGGAATTAGAAAGAAAAGCGTGGGTGGGTATTTTCCCAGAGCAGTGCCACGGAAAGCATTGGAAGAAGGAGCTCAGGAAGCTTCCTGCTGTGAGACACAGGGCCTTAGCTGAGAACAGCAATGAGCTGTAATTTGATTTCAGTCGTGTCTTATGTCTACAACGGTCTGTACAAATACTAGCTAATGTTTAGGCCCAACCTATGCATTGTGCCTTCATCGTTTTATATAAAACCTAGTATACGTGGAAATATGTGTAATGAATATAAACTGTTCTTTAGTCAATTGGATGGAGGCTTTCCCTTGCCATGTTCGCAATCCAGGGCTTCAACGTGACAGTGACAACGTGAAACTCACTAGCGTCCAAATAGGAGTGAGATGTAAATAGCAGGAAACGTTATATGGGGGGAGCTATACCTGAAAGCTTTATTTTTTGTAGCTGGTGTTTGGTAAGAAATTATTATTATTATTGAAGAGGTGATTCGGTTGCTCAGGGAAGGAGCTGTCTCTTAAGAAGGGGATCCACATCACATGGACCAGTTTTCAGCATAGGGGCCTCGGTGTTTGCCTAGCGCTTAACACAATAACCTCCCCAAGTGCGTCTTGACTAAAAATAATGCACCCAGGCGCAAAACTTCCACACCTGCCTTTTACCGTGATGATGATGGACAAAACTAGCGAGTTCCCCGGGAGCATGACGCACGGGGAGTGGGATGTTTGCCAGGAGCTGCAGAGAGCAGGGTTGAGGACCAGCCACCGGGGCGGGTTGGTTGTTTAAGGAACCAGCCGCAGCCTGACTCGAGCGGCAGGTGCTGTCTGTGAGTCACCGCTGCATTGCCGGGGCCTGGCCGGGCTGAGCGAGCTCGTAGCTCCGGCGCTGCGAACAGCGGCGCGTGTCCCGCTCCCAGCAGCCGCGGGCCGGCCCGGCTGAGCCCCGGCGTGCGGGGTGAGGTAGCGCGCAGTGCGCGCTGACGCCGGGCGGGGGGGTCTGGGCGCGGAGCTGCCTGCGGCGCCCTGTGTGTGTGTGTGTGTGTGTGTGGAGGGGGGAGGGCAGCGTGCGGGGCTCCGGCCGCGGCGGGCGGGGGCGCCGTGTGATGAGCAGCGAGCGGGGCCTAGTAGCCCAGCCAGCGTCCTGCCGGGGCCCGGGGAGCGGCCGCGCCCGGGTGACTGA